TTCTGTCTGGCAGTACTAGGGTCGTTGGTTCGAATCCCAGCCACAGCACCACCACCACCTGGAGTTTGCATGTTCTCCCTGTGCCTGTGTGGGTTTCCTCCAGATACTCTGGTTTCCTCCCACACTCCAAAGGCATGCTGGTAGGTTAATTGTCTCCTGTCTAAATTGGCCCTAGTATGTGTATGTATGAATGTAAGTTAGGGACCTTAGATTGTACGCCCCTTGAGTGTTAGGGACTGATGTGAATGTACAATATTTATATATATATGTAAAGAGCTGCATAAATTGACGGCGCTATATAAGTACCTGACATAAATAAATACTTTAATAACAACTAAGCCTACTTTGACTGAGTCAGGAGTGCATAATACACAGAGTGTAGAGGCCAAAAGGAAGTAGCTCATAGACTGTAGAGGCCACAAGGAAGTAACACACAGAGTGTAGAGGCCAAAAGGAAGTAACACACAGAGTGTAGAGGCCAAAAGGAAGTAACACACAGAGTGTAGAGGCCAAAAGGAAGTAGCTCATAGAGTGTAGAGGCCACAAGGAAGTAACACACAGAGTGTAGAGGCCACACACAGAGTGTAGAAAAGGCACACAAGTGTAGAGGCCAAAAGGAAGTAGCTCATAGAGTGTAGAGGCCACAAGGAAGTACACACACCAAAAAAGAGTAGCTCATAGAGGCCAAAAGGAAGTAACACACGGAGTGCCTCCCAAACAAAAATTCCTCCCTCCTTACAATACAATACCCCCCCCCCCCCCCCCAAAAAAAAAAACCCTCCAGCACAAATTCCCTGCTCCCTTAATTGTATTCACCAGACCGCGGCATGGCATTGCTGGTAAATCCCCACAGTCCACCATCTGCTGCCAGGTCCCTCCACTCATCACTAGTGGCATCAACTGCAGAATTAACCATATACTTTTCATGATGGGGAGGTTTCTGTGGCATAAGGAACATGTCACCTCTCCAGCACTCCAATCTCTCTCGCACAGTCATTCACCATTAGTCTCATACCATGGACCATGTCTCAGGCTGCATTTAGAAGCAAAGGGCTCTAAGTGCAACTAAACCCAGGACCCTGCATTCATTATATCTGGTCTCCCACAGTACACACAGCATGGAAATTCAATTATTTTAATAAATATAAACTGTTAAATACCTTTTCCCATCAGCAGGACATAGCAGTCTTGTGACTTCTATCAGTGTCCAGCTGAGCACTGGTTAAAGCTTGCAGGAGGCGTTTTCATTCTCCTCTGATTGTCTATAAAGTTGTATGACCCCTGACCCTCTGTCTGGACTGTGCTGATCACATGCACTGTCCCAAAAAAAAAAACAAACTCTCTAGCAATATACACTAAACTGAGCATGTGCAGAGTGACTCCTAGAGCTCTAAAATTTCAGCAGATGGACTGGCGACTATAGGTGAAGGGGAGGATCAGAGAAGGCAATATCAAACATCCTTTTTTCACAGTGCAGAGGATTAACCCCTTAGGTTCCACGGTGAGTATAACAAGCATACTTTACTGCATATACAGACTGATTTTACTGTTGTGGGTTTAGTAACACTATAATCCATTCCAATATAGTAATGTCACAAGGAGCCATTGGTGTCTACTGCTACTGATTTACTGTAGCCACATGGCACCACCCCCCATTCCTTCACATTAAAATGCTGGGCACGGTACAGCTGCTCCTTCTGGATGTACACCCACCTCCTTGTTCTGGCCCTGTGCCCTAGTGTAGAGTTGACTTACCAACTCCAGGCCCAGATGTGCAGTGCAGGTCGCCATCACAAAGATCCTAGATTGTAAGCTCCAAGGAGCAGGGCCCTCAAATCCCTCTTGTATTGAACTGTATTGTTACTGTACTGTCTCCTTTTATATTGTAAAGCGCTGAGCAAACTATTGACGCTATATAAATCCTGTATAATAATAATAATGAGCAAGGCAGCAAACAATCCTTATCATTATCTCTCCCAGAAACAATTGAGTACTGTCCATGATACTTCTTTTATTTGCACTAACTTACTTCTCCAAAAATAGTCCACTGAAGCAGAGAGAGAAGGAGGGGCCAGATAGACTACATGATATCAGCATATGACATCATCAATAACCCTGGACACAGTCCTCCCTTCCCTCCTCATACTCCAGGCCAATCACAGAAATGTTGCTAAAACAGATTATCTGCAGCTGTCTGGGCCAGGGGCACCATTATTAAAGCTAGAAAGAAATCATGGACACATTCTTTTTTCTTGGGGACAGCTCCCTAAAATCATGGACTGTACTCTGAAACCAGAGACATCTGGTCACTTTGCTTTACTTTACTTGTACTGTTGGGCAGAGATTACCCTTATTAGTTTGGGAATGCAGAAAATGTTCCAGCATCCAGGTTGCCAACCTGCTGCCCTTTGGTGCCCAATATATGGCGGGCCAGGCTCCAGGGCTTTAACCTCTTGGCACTGGCCGCACGCAAATGTGAGGCCTCCCGGCGTCTGGGCCTTGACGTTGAGCAGCCACACATTTGCGTGCAATTAAGAAAAACATATGTGCTGAGATCGCGCTCCCAGCACACATTTCCGGTACTCATGGAAAGGTCTCGATCTCCTCTTGCGATCGGGACCTTTCCCGATCATGTGACCGCCGTGACAGCGAATCACGGCGGTCACATGATCCTAAAACCCTGTCCCGCCTCCCGCTTCTGAAACCTTTAAAGGGCCAAGAGGCGCTGGAGCCAAGGGGTTAAGGTATAGCTAAAGCTATAAAGAGAATAGTTAAATCTCCTGTCAGTTTTTTTTTTTTCTGCTGTATCCCATTTGAAAGGAAGTCAGAGGAAATCTCTCCAGAGTGAGATAAACCCCTGCTTATGCAGAACTGTCTTAATGCATGGGCACAGCTCAGGTGCCCTAAGTGCATGGGGGCCCCATGATAATCTTGCATTACATCACATTTGCCAACTGTCCTGGATTTGGTACAGTCAGATTTTACTAAACTGTCCCAGAATGGCCCAGGCAGCATCTTGGAACCAGTACTGTGCATTCCTGATCTCAGTATTGTGCCCTTCTGATCCCCACACCTCCCCGTACTGTGCTCTTTGTGTTGATTAGTCTTTGATTTATGGCATGTTTTTCTTATTGTTTAAAATTGATTTTATTGAGAGTATTGATAACTATATCAACTATCTATCAACTATTTATACTTTAATTATTGAGAACAGGGGCGTAAATTGGGGCAGGCTGGTAGGGGCCTCAGTGCATTACTTTGCCTAGGGGCTAATTATGCTAGTAAGATGGCCCTGTGCTTATAGACAATTGTCAACATTTCCCCTCTAATCCTGTTCTGTTAAGTAAAGATTTTGATTTTCCTATCACTTTCACTCTCAAGAATCTGAAATTATGGGGAGGATTTACTGAAGCTGCAAATCTGGTGCGGTTTGCCATAGAAACCAATCAGCTTCCAGGTTTTTATTGTAAAAGCTTAACTGAACAAGCTGAAGTAAGAAGCTGATTGTCTACCATGCACAGCAGCACCAGGTTTTGCACTCTCCAGCTTTAGTAAATCCACCACTATGTTTTGCCTCTGTGAACAAGCCCCCGGGGGGCGGAGCAAAATGTATCAGAGGGCATGGCCAGAATGGCGGCTGTGGCCATTCCTCATCATTGGATTCCTGGGTTCAGTTGCGCAGCTTCCATTCCTTCACTTTTATTGGCTGACAATGGAATCACTTGGACTCATGCTCCCCTGGTGGGGTGATCATTTCCTTCCATCCATAGCTTGGAGCGGTGCCATAAGGTATACTTTTTGCTATGTTTTGCCTGTATTTCAACTTCAAAGTAATCTACATCATCTGCATGAGCAACTGGCTAGACCTGTTTTTCTTTTACTGACCAGACTGAGCAGCCAGGTGATACCGGAGATGTAGGTTTCTTGTGTTTCTATTTTTAATTCTGCAGTTTATTTAAGGCAGTGCATACAATAGTTTTGTTTGGTTTGCTATCAAGCATCTGTGGCAGAAGAGACTCTATTTTTCTTTTGCCATAAATAATCTGATCTTGCCTGTACATGCATAGCACAATGTACAATTTTGGCATGTTGTGGGTACCTGGATGAAATGACTCCCTTGAGCATGTGTGGGCATTACATCATCCCTGGCAGGACAATTAGGACAGCTAAAAAGTCTGGACCTAAAAGAAGACCAGGAATGGATGTCAGCCTTGGTGGCAACAGAGTCACAAGGACATCACTACTCATTACTGAAGGAGGGTACTGTGTAAGCTCATGTGTCCCACCAGCATGGCACCAATTTGGAAGATTCTGTCCTGGTCAGGAGCACACACATCTGGGTTGCTCCAGGCAGACCCTGCAAGGCAAAGGAGCCACCCTATAGATAGAAACGGCATACCTCAGACTTCTAAAGCCACAATATGCTGAAAAGACCACGTAAATAGGGGACAGGACCTAATGTATGCTGGTACAATTATTCTTTTTATTTTTTCATGGAGGGTTAAATAACATCTTTAATTTACATTGTATACAAAACATTTTGTTAAACTGTTACAATTATATCATAATAAGATGAGGGAATGAGTGACTCAAGTGGGAATTTTATGTCCTAAAAATGTCAATCCTTTGAGAACTATTTTTTTTTTATACAAGCTTAAACACTCATAAACCTAGCATGCCATATAGCATGGAACAAAGTAACCCTCTGAAACCTGAGCTTCAAACAGTTCCAGAAATACAATGAAGAATGACAACCAATAGGAAGTGCATGCAAAGTCATAAACCAGCAAAACAACATTGTAATGTTCAAAAGGGCAAGGAGTTGTGCAGAGGAACACAATACTGCCATTCAGATCATTGTGGACTGTGCCTCAGTTCATTTGTCCGAGTGGTAACGCTGCACATTATACCACACATCAACAGGATAATTCATTCATTTTCCGAAACCAGGAAGTATAATATTTTGGCCACTGTTTGTGCCAGGTTTATTGGATTCAATCATGGGCAGTCTGATTAGCAAAGTGAAGATATGCCTTTCTGCATGGTATCCTGTGAGGGCTCGTGTTCTCCTCCTTGGTCTTGATCACTCTGGCAAAACCACCACCCTTTATCAACTAAAGCTGAAGGAGAAAGTTGCCACTATCTCAACTGTTGGATTTAATGTGGAGACTCTGGACCCTATCAATGGAGTTTCTTTCACCGTGTGGGATGTTAGCCTAAATGCTGAAACATGGCCTTTCTACAAGCATTATTTTGCAAATACACAAGGTATGATGTTTGTGGTGGACTGCAAGGATGGAGAAAGACACAGAGATGCCAAACAACTTTTGCATATGGTCTTAGGAGAGACTGACATGGAAGGTGTCCCATTTATTATACTTGCCAACAAGCAAGATCTGCAAAATACAAAACAACCATCTGACCTGGCAATGGAATTGGAACCGGATAAGTGGACTGGAAATGCCTGGGAAATATTTGGATGTTCTGCCATTTCTGGTGATGGACTACAGGAAGCCTTAAGTACACTCTCTGTTATGATTAAGAAACGTGGAATTACTATGTCCTAAGGAACTTTACCTGTTTCTGCAATTATTCGTACAAAATTTCAGCTGGCCAAGTGATGGGAAGAAGTGCTAATTGCTGCATGTTGAGCCAAGTGCCCATATAGATCCATGACACATTTGACAAATGTCTTTAAAGCATTGTAAATCATAAGGACTGGAAAGAGTGCTGCTTTGTGATTCTTTATTAGACAACATCTCGCGTGCAAATGTGCCCTGAAAGCATTATTAAGTTATACTTGTGAAAAAGCCATCATGCTAAGTCAGCCTTTCTCATTTTTTTTTTCTATGGAGGATACCTTGAAATATTTTCAATTCTCAGGGAACCTTTGGTAAAACAAATAATTGGTGGTCAGTGGGGAAAAATACACTTTAAGTAGGTAATAGGAAGCAAGCCCCCTTACAGGCAGCTAAAAAGATCGTAGGTGTCATGCAGATGCCTCTGCCCAGTGGAGTTGGCCCTGAAACTATGCAAGCATCATCAAATGGGAGGTCAATTAGCCATTGCTGTTGGAATGCCTAGCAACCTCTGGATGTACCCTGGTAGAGAATGGCTGTGCCAAATTAAATGTTACATACCTTTGTTGAGAAATAATATCTCAGTTACTATATTTTTCTCTGTAACTTTGTTGACTTTCCTATATGCCAGGTGTCTTGTAATACCTCATTTTTTAGCTATATCTGTATGAAGATCTCTGAACATGAAGTGCAATACTGAAATGCTAAAACAGGTATCTGTGCTTGAAAACATTTCCTAGAAAACGGCTTCCTAATATACGTCCTTTTTAAGCCATGATAACAGTAACTAATCTGTGTAATTGTTTCAATGCAATGGTTTTCAGTTGAAAAAATGTGTATTATAAGGCTTGTGGTGAACCTTGCTTTTTCCTGCTAGAAAAAAAAATTAATGGTAGCTCAGCTGGTGAAGAAAACATCTCATATAATGCTTGCAATATAGAATTTGTTAATAATATTTTTTTTCTGTGGTTTGCATGGTGTCACTAGGTAGTGCATACAACAGGAAATTAATAAAATGTTTTGACTGTGCATGGTAGAAAAACGTGTTTGTTGCTTAAAACACAGTCCAAATCTTTTTTTCTGTTTCATAAAGGCAATGTGCAAGAGATTGTACTGGATTATCATACACTATGTCCCAATTGGACTGAAGAACAGGTTCACATAGCAAGGCTAGAATTTTAAGATGCTAAATTGACATATTCCTACTTAAAACTATACACAGTACCTTGTATTTCTTATTTATGACAAAGTAACTGTTAAAAGCATATACGTTGTGAAACCACATTGGTACTGTATAAATACTTCAATATATTAAATACATTGGGTTGATTTACTAAAGGCAAATAGGCTGCATTTCGCAAGAGAGATTGCAAAGAATACCCAATAGTGCATAGAAAAAAAAAGCATATGGTTAGATGATGGAAGTCAACAGAGCTTCACCTCATTTACTAAGTTCTGGGAAAATTTCCTTGTAAAGTGAACATTCTAGCTGCCTTTAGTAAATCAGTTCTATTACCTTCATACTTGCAACCTCAAACCACCACTACACCCTAAATTCACATATCATCCTGTTCATAAACATTAAGGTGGATAAGGTGGAGAGAATGGGTGGTGACGTCACTGAGAAAAATGCAAGTTGTTCTCTGAATGGTGGTCATGCTGAGCGAATGATCCACTGTGGTTACTACGCAGAAGGGCAGCTGCTTGACAAAGTACCCCAGAAAATCGTGGCCATAACTGCAGTAGCTCAGGCTACTACAGAGATTCACTGCTTCCACAGAGGTCAATCATGTATGCACTGGGCCAAGCTGGCCCAATGTAAGTATACACAAATATATCATCTCTGGAGTTCAGCTTTAGGCTATCCCATTCTATGTAAGTGTTTTAAATATAGATGCATATGCAACTTACTACTAGCTCTACCAGTTGAACAGCAAAATGTACTTGGAGCTTGACCGCTTTAGCAGGTTTTGTAATTTATTCTTAAACCAATTAAATGTTTTCTGCCTCTGGCTGAGTTAAAACAGTATGTATATTTTTCTTTTAAATCTGACCTTTGGTCCCCATAAAAAAACAATATCTCCTCCTAAAATACCGGTATACCTTCTACAGTTGTATCCAATATTAGAAATTTTAAAATGATCCTTTTGTATTGTATAATATTTTTTATGCAAAAGGTGAATTCCTGTCACCTCATTGGCCCAATTGGAGAAGGAATCCTTACCACAATGTTGTGCAAGCTGGTCAGGCAGGGAAGAGTTTTCACTGAACCCTAGGATGGAAACTGGAGGCGCACAGCTGTCTGTCAGTGGGTCTTTACAGAAAACAACCAAAGGTCCAACCACATGTACTTCTGGTGGAATGACCACAGAGGTGAGGGTACATGACACCAGAGACTGTACCCATACAACTGTGGAAAGATGGTGGGCATCGGCTGGATGAATTGAGATGAGGCTGCTTTTACCTGCTGACCACTCAACATATGATACATTGGTGGGTTAGGATAATGCACTTTATATATTAGATGGATGAATGCACTTTATACTGCACAATGCTGTCACATAGGTTTAATAGGTTTATGTATAGTGCTAGATGAATCAGAAGTGATTGGAATTGATCCCCTGTATGGTTATCTCTGCAAGAGTTGAAAGCTGGCTTCTTTTACTCTTCACCCCCCCCTGCTGGCTTTCAGCTTCTGCAGAGAGAGCCATACACAGGATCGGTTCCAGTATTGTTCCCCCGCCCCCCTCTGCTGCACCCATCACCCTCCCTGTGTACCATACATATCCCCCTGCTGCCCAGCCCCCCCCCCCCCCCCCCCGTGTGCCCCCACCCACTCAATGCTTCCAGCTTCCTTCCTCTCCTTCCAACCAGTAGCGGCCAGCACAAAATAGGATCCTTCAGGATGCATAGATTCCTTTCCTGAATTAACATAATGTGTGATCGACACCAATCACTATTGTGTTCATTCATAACTGAAGCAAAGCAAACTGTGTTTTTGGGGTTGGGGGGGGCCCCATTAGGTTGGCTATATGGGGTCATGTGATTTCTAACAGCAGTCTTGGGTGTAACACATAGGGAATGTTAACCACACACTATATAAAGGGAGATGCTGGACAGACATTTAAAGTTGTGTACTGCACTTAGGTAGAGAATAAAAACAGATGCCAAATATCAATTTCAGAATGCAGTAGAAGGAATATCGTACAGGGTTCATATATAGAAAATAAGAACTGATACTGAGAATTACATCCAGCATACAGGGCAAGACCTATCTTTGTGCTGAGCTGATTTTTGCTGAGTGTACATCTACCTCAGGGGAAGTGTGAAATGCAGTGGGTGCACAGGCATGGGCAGGAGTGGGTGTACAGATCTGAATGCAGACACTGAGCGTTTGGATCTATGCACCGGCTCCTGCCCACACGTCAAATTTTTGACATGTGATTGTGTCTGTGCAGCCAATGCATCTGCATCTATTTCTATGGGTTGCCGGAATGCTGCCCTGAGGTGGATTCACAGGCAGAACAAAGCAGCTCAGAGGACAGGTCTAAGTACCAATCTGAATGAGCCCTAAGGCTCCATGCACAATTCGGAAATAGGGTCATAGAGTTTACGTAATTCCCTGCTTGAGAGGCACAGATGCAGAATACAGCTGGCTGTTAGCAGCCTGTCAAAATTGGTGACAAGCTGAAATACTTATCTGTATGTAAATATACAAACATCTGAGTGGTACTTGTATACAGGGACACATACTGCCCTAAATGCAGACAACTGGTGTTCTGGGCAGTGCATATACATTCCTCCCAACTTTCTGAGATGGGAACAAGGGACACCTATTAGTCCTCATGCACACTGGACGCTTTTACAGCTGCTGTTTTTGGCTTTTGACGTCTGTTTCTACAGCTAGTAAACCCCCCAGCATGTTATCCTATGTGTCCATGCGCACATAGACTATAATCAACGTTTTTGGCTGGGACGTTTTTTGGCTAGAAAAAAACCCCCAGAACTAGTGGGTTTCTAGAGGTGTTTTTTAGCTGTAAAAACGATCTAATGCTGAAAACTGCGGTAAAACATGGTAAAACGACGCAAACCAGCATTTTGGATGTTTTGATGCAAAAAAAAACCCCAATTTTTTTGGGGTAAAAAAATGCAAAAAAAAAACAAAAGCGGAAAAACGCAGCTAAACACGGCAAAATGCTGCTAAACGCTAATGCAAAAATGCAAAAAAAAAAGCTGAAAAACTCACGTTTTTAATGTGACTTTACACAGCTAATGTTACCAGCGTTATCAAAATGTCTAGTGTGCATGAGGACTTAGCAAAAGCATGCAGGCATAGGACCGTCCCCCTCCCCCCCCGCCACGCCTCCCCTAAAGGAGAATTATTTTTAAAAAAAAAATGATTAGTTAAACCCAAGTGTTTTTTTTTACCACTACAAGCCTTTGCATTGGCTTTTTGAAACTTACAAATGCAGCAATTTAGGAAATGGATGAAAGATTTCACACTGTAAAACACTTTTTGATAGATAAATAGTGCATTTTTATATACAACTATATAAATTAGACTAAAATTAGAAACAAATGAGGAGGAAAGAGGGACTTTGTTCCAAATGAGGGACAGTCCCTCGAAATCAGGGACAACTGAGAGCTATGCATATGTCCTGGTATGTGTAAATCTGTGTACAGCCATAACTATAATATACAGTATATGGAACAAATGATGTATATTGTTGGAAAATTTTATTAAAAAGATTGAAATATATCTGTGTACAGCCTATCATTTCAGCCTATTTCTTTGTTCATCCTATCATTGACAGGCTGCTGTCCACTGGCTGCACGCTGAATACAGTACATCCTTGTTGTGGACACGTGCATGGAGCCTATGAACAGATACTGAGAATTTCCCAGCATACAGAACAAGTGGTGTACAGTGTCCTTATCCACTTGAAGACCCGCTAACGTACATATATGTCTAAGAGAAACTGAATTCC